ATACTCCAGGAAAGGAGTATGTGAATTTTAAAAACAGAATCCTGGCTCCATTGAAATAAATTATTTTATTTTGTTTAATTTTGTTTTGTTTTATTTTATTGATTTTATTATTTTTATTATTTCAATTTTATTTGTCTCTGGGTTTTGCTTATTAGCAATATTTGTAGTTCAGTATGAAGGTCTCAGTGCTGGCTCTACAGGCCACGCAGTGTTGTGCCAAAGCTGAGGAATGAGCCATTCTTGAGAAATTTGGTGTCTAATAGAATTGGGGCTGAACTTCTTGTTTCCAGGTCTTGCTTGTAGCCTGAATGTCAGTGTGTCTCTTCCTTCCCTTGCACTGTAACCTTCAGGACTTCGCATTGACTTGTTTAATCCCTTCTTACTCCACACAGTTGTCAGTGGCCTAAAACTCTGCTTGATATTTTTTTTTTGTCTCATTCCTGGCCCATGTGTCCATCTCTGCTGTCTAATGATGGAATATCCATGAGCCTGGGGGCTGTCATCCCTAAACTCAGTCTGACTGAATCCAATACCTGCACTAAACTGCTCAAATATCTGTATACTTGCACACACAAGATGGGTTTCCACTTGCTGTCTTCCCAGCTAACACAGTGAATCCTGGCTGGACTGAGAACATTGAATCCACTTTCTTCTGCTCACCATTTGCATTCTGTTTTCAGCCCGTCATTCCAAGATAACTGAAGAACTTGGTCTGTACAAGGTAGGGATCAGTGTTTAGATGGGTTGCAGTCTTTGGATGAAGGGTGAGCACTGATCTGCATGGAAAGAATTTCTTCTCTAGAGAAGTGCAGACGTAGGATGCAGAGAATCCACCTGTGTTTAACACTTTATCAACCTGAGCTCAGGGCGTGTGTCCAGCTGCTGTGTTGGAGCACAGCAAGGATGCAGCCCCCAGCATCTCTGCCTCTCTCACTGGGATCTTTCCTCTGCAGGTGATCTCCTGCCACACCTGAGCTTCTGCCAGCCTCCTGCTCCAGTGTGTGGTGATCCTGTTGGATGTATGTTACTGTGGAGTGCTGATATGTGACCCAAGACATCGATTCATAGTGATCTTCCTCAGCAAAGAAGAAAAGAGCATGCACATGGCAGGTCCCAGCTACATCAGTTACTGCACATCTGAAATGTGTCCAAGTACTACAAGAATTTCTGTAAGGTGGCATAAAATACAAATACTACAAGTCATTTGACACACTTGAGGAGCTCTGTCCTACAAATCTTTCTCCTTCTGCTTCTCTTGTTGCTAATGAAAGAGCTGCTCTTTGGTTTCAGGCTTTAACCTATTTTTAGATTCCCTTTATGCTGTTGGCCCTTTGAAATGCATGAATTGCAGTGAAAGAAAGGCAGTGTCATTGCTGGGAGGCAAGAGGAAGGCCTGTAGGTGAAGTCATATCTGGTAATGAAAACTGTCTCACCTATTCATCTCCTCCTTTTATTTCTCTAAAGTAGCTCTGTTCCCTTAGGCACATGGTTGCACTTTTCCTGCTCTAATTAAGCATTTTGATGACACCAGCTGGGCCCTTCATTAGCCCAGCACCAGGGGATGGCTCCCTCCTTTGGGGGGCTGTTTTCTTCATGTTTTAGGAAGTTGCAGAGCTGGTGTGCTCCAGTGCAGGCTTAGTGCACTGTCCTGGTCCCACCACAGCACATGCACCAGCCCAGAGTGGAAGGGAGGTGGAGAAGCTGGAATTGCAGAGAGAAAAAGAGTGCAGTAAGGAGGAAGCTGTGGGTGAAATAGTGGGGCAAGCAGCAGGTAGGAGTTATTTGTTGCATTCTAATTGGGGTGTCAGGCATTGCCTTTGTGCAGAAAGGTTTCATCTAAGGGGGTGGCGGGGGCAAGTAGAAAATCATCATCTAAATAGTCAAGTTGTCCCAGCGACTGTGGATGCCAACAGATCCCAAACCCAGGTCCAGCAAATCTGTGCACACTCTGATCTGACCGCTATGACCAGAGGTGTTGGGATTGCTGTGGTTTGAAGTGGGATGTAAATCACTGCATTACTTCACTGGTTATTTACCACCTACAACAAATTAGTGCAGAACTAAGCTCACTTCAGCAGCAGTTCCTCATGGGAACCGCTTTTTGTTTGTAGGGTGAAGGCCCAGCTGTGTCACAGTGACACTAATGAACATGCTGCGGCTAATGGAAGTGGGAAGAATCAGACCTGGTGTCTGGGTTGCAGGACTGAGCTGACTCAGTATTGACAGCTTACTCATTGCTTTAACAACCCAGGCCAGGCTCAGGACGTTTGGGCTGATTTAAAGCAAATAAAGTATTTTTGCTCCCCAGCTTCTGGGTTTTAGGCTCCTGACAAAAATGTTTCTGAACTGATGGAGTGATTTTTATCCTTCCAGACAGACCTTTATCCTCAGTGCTGCAGCCATCACTGCCTTGAGGCAGTAGAAGAGGAGTTCTGCTTGTTCTGCATCTCAGCACTGCCACACGGCTTCACCAGAGCAGAGTCGCCTGCAGACTGTACCTGCTGAATCCACCTGAAGACAAGGAGATCTTGGCACAGCAGGGTTTGGTTTTCTCTCTATGAGTGAAAATATGGTTTGGATTCTGTGCTACAGAGAAGATATGGCACTGCAGTGTGTGTCTGTGAGCTGTGATGGCAGCTGCCACTTCAACACAATTCAGTTACATAACAGAGAGTGTTGTAGTCAGAGGAATTATCCATAGTCTGTAACACTCCTGATGTTCTGTTGGCTTTGCGTAGGTTCCTACACTGTTGAAAGTGCATTTTAAATTGAATTTTTCAGAGTCTATGTACGTACTATTACACAAATTACAAATATCCACCGTGATCTCCCCTGTTTAGAACAAAAACATCTATGACACCTGCATGAGTATTTGTGTTCTTATTTGTACAGCAGACCATGAAGTCTAGAAAGTCTGAGTTGGTTAAACAGAGCATGGCTCAGGAGTTTGATGGTTGGAGAAAATCATCCTTCCTAAGGTCATTAGTGCTAATTAAGTCCCATCTGCTCTTCCTGCCCTCACTCCCAGCATTTTAAGGAAAGGTCAGGCATTTGCTTTCACCTCCCAATGCAATTGGAAATACACACGGATTGTTAAATAGCGTTGGGTGAAGGGAAGGCCTTACACCAGTCATGGATGGCAGCAGCTAGAAGCAAAATGAACATGCTTGTGAATATTGACATGAATAACAATGGATGAAATGTTGAAATAAAAAAATGCAGGGTGTGAACCCAGCTGTGGGATGTAATCCCAGCTGCAGCTCCATCACCCCCAGCATGCCTCAAAGCACAACTGAGGCCCAAAGGGATCATGAGAGGGGCTGTGCTGGGACAACACACGCAGGAGATGGTGGAGCAGCATGGGGCAGGGCCATGGTCCAAGTGGTGACCTCAGAGCCCCTGTGCAGGACTCACCAGCCTAAAGGCGTTGGCAAAGGAGCCCAAAGGGATGGGTGACCCCAACACAGGCTGATGGTGCTGGAGTGCAGGAGACCACAGGGCTTAGGAGAGAATTTGGGTGAAATGAGGAGAAATGGGGAAGGGGGAGGAGCTGACCTTTAATAACCTCATATACTAATGTGTGACCTCAAGTAACCACAAATGATAATTGGTGACCTCAGACAATTTGTGTACACAAATAGGGTAAAGTTGACCTTTAGTAACTCCAAATGCTAATTGGTGACTTCAAGTAACCCCTCAGCTGAGATTTTTGGGGTAAAATTGACCTCAAGTAACCCTATATGACCAGTGAGGGCCCAGTATGTGCCTGGGCTCTAAGTAAGTGCTGACTTTGTGCCCTAGCCCTCAACCTCCATGTGTGTGATTTGTTTCTCCATATTTGCTCCTTGAGATCCTTTCCAGTCACCCAGACACCAAACTCCTCTACAGGGCAGGTCAGGGCCAGCCCTTCCTGTCCTTGCTGCTCAGAGGGACCCTGAGCTGTCCGGGCGAGCCCCCAGGGTCCGTTGGGGACCAAAAGTGCATCAGGACCTCCACTGAGGTCATCTTTGTTCCCAAAATGACAGCTGGGGGGCTCCCCCAGGGCTCAGGAGCTAGGCCCTAGGGTCCCCTGGCATCCTGACATGTCTCACTGCAATTACTTGAGGTCACTAAGATCTTTGTTGTGTTCCCTGGGGAGACCTGAGGTCAATTCCTGCTGAAGTGGAACCTCAGCTGCTCTCTGGCTCCGGTGTCAGTGGAAAGGAATTGCCCTGGAATGAAACAACTCAATGATCTACCTGAGTTTCACCGTCTCCCCAAGGGCAGCTTTCAGGCAAGACCTTTAGAGAGCACAGGAGGAGAAAGAAGGGCGATGCCATGGATCTTCCCCTCTCCTTCTCCCAACACAAAACAGTTTAACACAAGGGTAGTGTCACAAACAGAGAACAGGCATCAGCCCTTCTTTATTTCAGCAGAGAGGAGAAGAGGCTTGTTAGGAAGCACTGGAAGCACCTTCCATCTGCTCGACCTTGTCACATCGTGCAGAGTCTGTAAAGCTTTTACAGAGTCTTGGTCCCTGAAGGACTCCAATTTCATCCAGTCCATCACCTCTCCTTGTAGCACCCTTCTTCTTGGGCTTCTTGTGCAGCATTGCTTGATTCTGTTCACACTTACAGAACAGCTAAAAATTCAATGCAAGACAGAAAAAATACTCAATAAAAGTCATCAAAGAGGTGCATGCCATTTTTAACATGTTAGTTCTTGGTGCTGTGGGACTGCGAGCTCTGAGCAAGCTCTGATTAGAAACACAGGTCTCAGAAATTCTTCCTGTTTCAGCTGTTTCTAAGGCCACTTTTAATTGGCATTATTCAAATACAAATGCCCCAAATATCAGAAACTACAGAGTCTTCAGCTCTCTCCTGAATTATTCCAAGTTTCTCAGTGAGAGATTATTCTAGTGTGAGCTTTTTATCTCCTGCTGGTCATTTAAAAAAAAACACATTTGAAACAGCACATGTGACTGAACACAATTCATCCAGGATGTCTGACTCTAGCACCATTCTTCCATTAGCCACTTGCATCAGAAGGATAATAATACTTACTTAAAACAAATTCCCTGTTTTCCAGGTCACTATTAGACGTTTCTTAATATAACTACTCAGGAGACAGTGACGTTGAGCAATGACTTTCTCTTATATATTTGTGAAGCAAAGTTGTTTCCTGGTGTAAATGAACAGTGGCGGGTGGTAGGAAGCACAAAACCTGTGCATGTGTGTTACCACGAAACATGCTAGCAAAGCATTTATTGCATTAAGCTACAAAAGACCCTGTAAGATGCACAGAATGGCTAGGAGTAAGGTAACGAGGCGGGGAAAGAAAACCAACCTGTCTCTTATGTCCTTGAAACAGAGTCATCTGATGAGCTCATGAAGTTTAACACCACTGAAATTTGGCAGACTCCTGACATGTACCATCTCACAGAGAGCTACTGCAGAGGGAACAGCAGCATGTGAAGCAGGTGAGGCTGTGTTCTGATTCATACCCATTGGAATCTAAGTAACAGATTGGTTGATGTCTTTTAATGACCTGAAACCAGACACATACTGGGTAGCAGCAGTGTGCCTGGTACAAGTCCCAGACAGCATGCACCATGGTAGGACATACACCTATTTGTGTTTTCTGGAGAGATCCAAGCCTCTCACAGCTTAAAATGTGGCTTTAGTGGCAGCAGAGAAAGTTTTTGGACTTTCAAAGCAGGCTATGAAGTTTCTGACAGAGAGGAATAGGCCTTGTCAGCCCTGCTGGGGCCATCAAGGAAAGCTGAAGCCACACTTCTGCTGTGGGCATTTGCCAACACTACAGGGTCACAAGGACCAAAATGCAGTTCTTTTCCCTTAATTGTGTTTCCTTTTGCCATGGGATGAGGCCCCTTCTGAACATCATTTGTTCTAAAAAGGATCTCTCAAGCAAACTGAAAAGAGGCCAGTCACCTGCAGCACCTTCATCCTATTTTAGCATAGTATTTGTAGTCTGGAATTTGTAGGAGAAGTGATAGATCCTTCTAAAGGTGGAAAGAGCAAGCATATATATTGAAAAATGTCCAGCCCTTGCATTAGGCTTTAGCAGCATTTTTAGGAAATCTCTGAATTTCTACATAAAATCCCCAATGTTTTAAATATTCAGTTCTTACAGACTTCCAAGTCCTTAAGCTCCTGGTAGTTCAGAACCCATGTCTACATATGGGCAGGTGGGAGCTGTGTCTACCCACAGGAGCCACATCCTCCAGGACTGAGGTACCTCTGCCTCTCATAGGAAGGCTTCAGGACCCCAGGAAACACAGGCTGGGTCTCTCCCATTTTCCCTTCTCCAGAAATGCTGCTTTGCTCTCCCCTGATACCTGCCAGAACTGGCTCCTGCAGAAAGAATGTGAATTTGATTACCAGGCATCACACAGGCCAAGGAATGTGAATCAGCATCGTTCATCCCACTGCAGCACTCACCTCACAGTGAAAACTGCAAGAGGAATCTGAGAAGCAACAGTTTTGGCTCCAAGTTAAAAGAATGAATGAAATTTCAAGAAAATTAAGCCTGAAATTTAGTTTGTATCAACCAGTGAGGCAATTATTACACGCAAATATTGTTTTCAGCTCCAGACCTAAGTATTTCCAAAATATCTGAAGCTGTTATTTTGATTCAGGTATACTTCTAATAATAACTTATGCATTGGAAACGTAAAGGATTAGAGAATAATAGGAGAAATAAGCACCTATAAAATAGGTGTTTATTTTCAGTATTCTCTCTGTAATGAAGTACAATATTCTGATATCAAGGTCAGCTCTTTGATTCAGTGGTGTCAAGTTCATTAGAATTGCCTCTAACTAGCCCCATTTATCAATAAAAATCAGGCATTTCTGTCAAGGCCTTTTCACAGTACATAGCTCTGTCAGCACGCAACGTGGGGTCAAAGTTGGCAGGGTGACAATGATGCCTTATCCATGTCCTCTGCTCATTTAAAAGGTCACCACATTTCCAGTTCATCACATTTAAAATACAAATGAATTTCACAAATTAATTGGAATCCATGAGCAATTGAAATAAATGTAAATCAAACAGCGTATCACTGTGTTAGAAAACTGCACTGGAGAGACATGGTGAAAAGTGGTCCCATATTTGACACAGGAGAGAGCTGGAAAAGAAAATAATGAAGTTGCCCAGGGTGAATTCGAAACAGTGAAGTCTTTCAACTAAAGACAAAATAATTGGAAAGTTTTATCTAAGAAATAATGGGAAAATGAACAGAAAGACTACCATAGTAATAGCTTGTGGAGGCCTAGATAAAAAATAGAGCAATTGAGACTTGAAGACAGCCTTGACAGTGATTAGAAAAACAGAGACAGAAAATTAGAGGAAATGACAAAATGTTATGCAGAGATGCCACCCTCTTTCAAGTCATCATTTTCTATGCAGTTGTTCAGAAAGTCAGGAACAAGTTGGAAAAGGAGATGATGAAATGAGACTGCACCACTGCAAGGGCAATCTTCCTTTAATGAAGAGCAAATGGTCTCTGGATTAATGGTTTCCTGCAGTGCTGGGGGGCACAAAGTATTATTGTCACTGTTCTGTTTCTTCATCTGTCAGAATATGGACAGCAGCAGCACAGGCACAGCGGTGTGTGCCCGAGACCTGTGCCTGAACATCACCAATGCTTCATGCACCTCCAGGCACTGCTCTGTGCACCAGTGCAGAGCAATTCAAGCTGGCAACAAGTGGGTAAGTGAACGACGTGCAGATTTTGCAGCCAAAATCCGACCATTTTATAGGTGCAGCTCAATGGACCAGCTGATCTGGATATAGGCCATGGTATTTCTCTGCAATCCTCAGTTGAAACCATGTCTCAAATCAGTTGCCCAAAACTCAGAAGAAATGGAGACAACACTAAATATATATATATATATATATATATATATATATTTTTTCCTGGACAAATTCGTAAGAAAGTAAGAGCTCACCTCTGGCACAAGATCTCTAAGCTTGTTACTGGGACCTGTGGGTTTAATTCGCTCTGTCACCACCTCTGGGACAAGATCTCTAAGCTTGTTACTGAGACCTGTGGGTTTCATTTGTTCTGTCATCACGACTGTTTTGCTGATTGCATCTCAATCTTTCAGCCAGCTAAATCCTTAAAAGAAACTGGGTAACAGAAACAGAATCAAATAAGCAAAATATTGCTCTGCATTCTGCAGCCATTTTGCAGACAGTTCACACTGATTTCAAAACTGGGTAAGCATTATTTGTAAGGGGGCTTGGCTGTAGTCTCATGTGACAATAAAGTCATTGGCCATAGCCCTGATGCCTGGCTCAGCTTAATCCAGCCTATGATCTAAGTGGGATGCAAAGGTGACTTCTTTCTCTCTATAGGCATTCCTTAATCATCTAAAAATCATTCCTAAAAATCATCTTCTGCTATGAGAGAAAACAGGTTCAGAGATTCCCTGTTCTTTGCTTCCTAAGGTGCTGCTTCACTTGGTAGATAGATGGTCCAGGCGCCTCTGTTTCTGGGTACCCTTCACCAGTAAGAATGAAGTGGCCTAGAGCTGTAGCTCTGTCCTGTACCTACCACCTTACGCTCACTCGGGAAAGGTACACTAACTACATGAGTCCTGCTAGGAGCTGTATGTACGTGCATGCCAGAGAAGATACCAGAGGCTCCAACTGCAGCAGAATCAATCAGGTAAACTTCCACAGATCCTGTTCTGATGAAGCTGTTGCCAGGTGTATCAGAGAAGGAAAAAAACCGACCACCCTGCTTTTGCCTGCCTTGTGCCCCTCACAGAAGCAATCTATAAATTGGAAGAACATGGAGGACAATGCTTAGAAGAATGCAGTAGTGTTGGCACATTGTGAATGATGACAAACATCACACCCAACCTCCTCATAAGACACAGTTACAGCAGGAATCTTCTTTTAATCAGCTGTTCCCTCTGGTCCCACTTTTCTGCAGATTGTCCAGTCTTTGCTTAGATTTTTCCTTTGCTCCAAATTGCATTTTCTATGAGCTGGTGCAGGTGTGCTTACAAAAGGATTTTTCATCAATACATGCTCTTAATTCACAACTAAAAAGTTGTCAGGAGCACTATACTCTTTTAAATAAATGATCATTTTATAAAAGACACATTTAAAACCATCAGCAATGCCCATGAGTGTTTAAAATATATATATAACAGAAATACTCTTTCCTACAAAGTTAGGGAGGACCTCTGATAAAAGATTTCAAACCTTTAGCTTGACAATATTCATATGTATCAGCATCTTACAGTATTTGTTCATTCAGTATTAAAACGGATTGAAGATGGTTACTAATAACTACATCATTTGCTCCTCCCTCTTCTCTCCATTCTTTTAAATAACCCTTAAATCTTTAATATAAGATTTTTCCTTCTCTGTTTCTATCCCAAGGTTAAAGCTTTTTACTTCCACCCAGTAGCTGAAAATGGAGTTTGGAAATAAATCGTGGTAGTTGCAAGGATTGCAGCAAGGTTGGATGAACAATTAAGACAATGCTGAGACTAGCCAGCTGAATAATCAGTTAGATCATGACTGCTGTCTTGGAACATTGTAGGAGGTATGGAATAAAAGGAAAATGAAAAGGAATTCCCTTTGAATAGATGTTTGGCATAGCTGAGTGCTGCAGCAGCATATCTGAATGATAAAGGATGTTCACTAAGACAAAAGCAGTATTCTTTGCTAGAGAAGAGGAGAATTTAAATTGTTGCCTGTTTTTTCCCCTGCAGATTTACAGTTCAAATGCAAAGTGTTGCTTTCTTGGATGCTCAGTTACAGCTTGAAAGGGTCTGCTCCAAAAGAAAAAAAAGAAACAGAAAAAAAAAGTGCTTTTACCTTTGCTGTGCTAGAGCAGAGAGGCAAAAACAAGTTGCAGAGAGGATGTACTTGGGAATTCTGCACAGAAGGAAGAAATCTTTGTGCTGAATCTCTCCACGGTAACAATTAAGGCTCAAGGCAGAAAGACTATGGGCTATGGGCTGTGGTTGTTTGAGCAGTCGTTATCTGGGCGTACAGACTTCCTGAGGCAGGTATGATACTATTGCATTCCCTGGTTTGAATTTGTTAGTAGAGTAGATTTACATTCCCTGAGCAGTGGGACTCCAGATGTTCCCTGCACCTTTCTCTCAGGGAGCCATATTCTAACCTTTGCGTCTCACAGTTGCTGTGAGTCAATGAGGTGTCAGTGTCACCAATGCTTTGGGATCCTCAAGTGTGTGTTACCGTAGCACCGCGCCACAGTGCTCTCAATTACATGTGTAGATTTTGATACCTGGAATAAGTTTTGATCTGTATTGTTTATTTAACTGCTCTTGATTTGTTGTTTAAGATGCTTTGTGTTGGTTTGTTTGTTTGTTGGTTTGTTGTTTTTTTTTATAAGAGATTGTTAACCAAATTCCAGGAGTAAGCCTGTTAATTCAGTAGGTTCAGAATTCTTGTAGTTTAAAGGTCTGCTGTTTTGGACTGAAGTCTCCAGGAGAACCAAACCTGTCCTTTCACTAACTTTAATGAGGCCACTGTCTATTCCCAAAGCCCAAATGGCGTTTGTCTGAAGCAGTTTAGGCAGAATATATTGAACATACCTCCCTTGCAATAGAGTTGCTAACAAAAATAACAGTTTCAAATGACTTTTGCCATGCCCTGTGTTTATCAGGGGTATTAATTAAAATTCCATGAAAAATCCACACAGATTACACGGGAACCAGGAATAACATCCCTCTGACATACCTGGCCAATTTTCCGTGTCATTTAACTGACAGTACAAGCTATTTGTGACTGTCATACATTTCATTAGTCAATCTAAAAACTCAGTATTCTTGGCTTGAAGCTTTAGACAGAATTACAGACCTCTAGTTCAGCAGTAGCAATTTTCCATTTCACTCAGCATGACACAAACCATCAGCTTCTCTAAAGGTGCTTGGCTGCTGCGGCTGCCAGATACTGTATTCCTTGTGGTCCTAAGCAAGAGTAAAAGAAAATCACTTATAGCAAATAGGCTATCTAATGAGCTGAGATTGATTTTTCAGCAGTTTTATAAGTGCAATCTTTAGCACTTGTCTATAACCTTGTGATTTTGGATAACAGAGGTAATACTTATGTGCCTGAAAATATGCAATCCTTTGGTCTGAGAGAGGTGTATTCTTCTACAAAGCAATAACTTTACTATAAGCTCAACATTCTACCTGTACTATTTCAGTAGCACTGAAGGAAGAGAAAAGAGTGCAACTACTCTGGGATACTCATGGCCCTGGTCAGAATACATTAAAATGTCCTTTTCTGTCCTCTGGAAGAGGCCTGACTTGGAAATAGCGAAGTAAAGAAAGCCAAATTGAGTAAAATTTGTCTCTAGAGGCAGTAAAACATATGCAACACAACATAAGCTCCTTCATGACTTCTGCTGAGGGGCCTTCCTTACCTAGATGGACCAGTGACTGTCACTGTAGCCATGAAAGATTTTATTTGCTGAAGCTGCACCCTGCAAGTCTCACAAACAAGGTTGCTTTTCTATGCTGTGTGTGGCCCCAGATCACATTGGTCTAGAAAGTTTGCATCTGCACATTTGTCTACAAAGTCTGTGCAGTTAAGGTACAGGAAGATGCACATCTGTCATTTCTGCAGTCTCAAATGAACCTGCCTTTCGGAGCACCTTTCTCATGTCCCATGGCAGGCTTTACCCACTGGACTTTACAGAGCAGCTTCTGGAAGAAGGAAGGATGGTTCTGTATAAACTTCACCGATACCTCTATTTAATTCTGCATTCCCAATAAAGTTTTAACTCACAACATACAGGAGCAGATAGTAAGCTGAACACTTAATCTAACTCATTAATTCAATGGTTTACACTTTTATTTGAAAAGGAGTGTCAAAGCACACTAAAATTGGCTATAAAGAAAACAGAGGGTGAAAACAAAACCTTAGAGAGACAGATAAGCTGCTCTAAGATAGGAAGAAATGCAAATCTCCTGCGAACACATTGGAAAGGAAAATATACTGGAGAATTTAAATGATGAACTGAACCTAATTTCTTTTGTTATCACTCTCAGTAAGGAGAGAGGGGGGTTTATTTTTCTCTCCCTTCATGTATTTACGGAATGCTCTTTGTGGCAATTTAAAGACACTTGTATGTTCTTCTGAAAAGTCTGAATCATTGGCCCGTTTCAAATTATCCAGTTTATGAGAGAAAAGATTGAATCAGACCTCCACGGAAAGGAGGGACAAATGGAGTTTTCTCCTAAAATGATACCTTGTTGAAGGCTGTTGCAATGCTATTATGATTAAACCATAGCAAGGAGGGGGTGGATGTGTATAGGGACCGCTGTTCGTCATAAACACAATTATAACTCACTGTATTTTATTTTGATCACAACTATAATACGAATGTTCTCCTGGATGACAGCTTGGATCCAATAAGAAGATAATTGGGAGTAGGTGCTAATATCTTGTCATAGTTATACAGATTCTTTTTGAAAAAGACATCTGGTTTAAGTGCTCAATGCCAACTGAATCCTTATAACCAAAGGCAATAATTGCTTACTGCTGCTGTGTATCCATGAATAATTGAAGGACTTGCCTTTCTCCGTCCTTACTCTGGCTCCCAGGATTGAAGGGACCCAGGCTTTGCATTTATTAAATAGATCTAATCTTGGCTTTATTTAATTTCCATTTTTATTGCATTTCTATTCCTGTTCTCATTCACGTTAACATTCTTCCCCTACTGTTGCACACAGAGCTGTGTGTGTAATAGCGCCAAACAAAAAAGAAGTAGCCTGAAAGCACATACTGCATGTCTTTAAAAAACACAACTTGGTGAGTTTTCAGAGGAAGAGGAACCTATGGCTGAAACAGAAGAGCCCTTCATATGACAAACAAGCATTTAGAGCAAATCCTAGCAGTCAGTAGGGCTTCTTTTTCTCCTGAAAGAAGAAAGTCCTCATAACAAGCCCTTGTGTTACATTCACGGTATTTTTTTTTAAGTCAAGAAAATGCAATTATGACAATAAGTTAAGCTTCTTTTGCAGCCTTAGAATGTGCTCCAGGCTAGCAAACTGATGTTTTCCCTATGTTTACTGAATCCAATGGCCACAGAAGTATGTTTATTCTTGGGAGATATACTTACTGAAAACACTGCATGTGAATAATAGAAGAGCATTTTACCTTATCAGGTGAGCAACACAGTCATTTTCGTATGC